CTCTCTCTCTCTCTCTCCCTCTCTCCCTGACTCATTCTCCCTGTCCCACAAAGCCTCCGCTCTCTTTTACATAAACATTCAGGCACGCAATAAGATTTATTATAGGTGTTCATAAACGAAAATGCTCCTGTCACGTTCAGTTAGTCTCCGAGGGGGGAATACAATCCTGATGTAATAATATGTACTGCTTTGTTGGTGTCCCACTTGGTACAGTAGGTTGTGAACCTGCTCTGTCACGCTAAAGCTCTAGGGTTCAAATCTGTATTTGATCCCAGTGAATTTTTTTTCTTCCTGATAGAACATTTCTCTCAGCCCAATGTCTTTCTTGAATTGAGTCTTCAGAAATATAATTGGACGTTTCTTAGGTCTGTTACCAAAATTGGAGAAGGCAAATGTTTAATGTGAGCAAGGTATATTAGAACAGTTGACAGAGATGTACGTCAGGGCGGCAAAAGTAGATGCAAAGGTGAGAATAGTGAGCTGAGAGAAGAGGGTAAAAAGATGTCTTGCGTTTCTAAATTGGCGTCCCACATGCCGCAGTAGGTTGCAAACCTACCCTGTCACGTATAAGATTAAGGTTGGAATCTGCGTGGGTCCCAAGAAGTGCTCCGTCTTGATTGAATATTCCTTTTCAGGGCAACATCTCTCCGTCTCAAATGTCTTAGTTGGAATGATGCTGGGCTATTGCGCAAATCGCCATGCTTCGAATTCCGAATTTCTTAAAATTTTGTTATCTAGCAGGTGCCAGTTCTTGCTCAGTTCTGTTGGAGATGGACCTTACGTTCAGAGGTCCTTCCTCTGTAATCTCCTTATACTGTAGAGACGGGTTTTAAACACATACTCCACCGTACCCTCGAATGATATTTGTCATGGTGTCAAACAGTGCGTTTGCTTGTAGGTATCTACAGCAGCGAAAGACTCAAGAGAAAAGGGAGGGTAGATGATGGGACGTGCAATTTAGTTTAAACGTGCACCTCACTTGAGACCAATTTTTCGTGATGCTTGCAGTCAGAGAAGGGCGATTTTCAAAGGAATAGTGGCTTGGGGGGTGTGGAGAGAGAGAGAGAGAGAGAGAGAGAGAGAGAGAGAGAGAGAGAGAGAGAGAGAGAGAGAGAGAGAGAGAGAGAGAGAGAGAGACGGTATAACTTGTGATTGTGTTTCTAGTAAGCAGAAACTCGGATCTCCCCCCCCCTCCCGACATACACAAACCAAGCTTCCAACCCTCGTGACATAACATCTCACAATAGATGGGGGGAGGAGGAAGAGGAGGAGGAGGAGCTGGAAGGTTTGTCAAGGGAAACAATCCGCGGTGTCGTGATTGTTGCCTGGAGGTGAGGCAGCAGCGGATCTTGGACAAGCAGTGTCGCAGTGGGCGGCTGGAGGGCGGGGCTGTCGTGATCGGACGCGGGCAGCGTCCCGCGGGGAACGGCCTGGCTTTGTGGGGAAACTTGTATCACCCCGGATCCGGTGACGGAAACCAGGGAAAGACGACACCTAGCCCCGTGTGTACGTGTATGTGGGGGGTTTGGGAGTGAAAGGGTGT